ATTTCATTTATATAATTTTTCAAATAAAAATTATATTTAACCAATTTAATTTATTAAATATTTTTAAAATTTATGAAATTTAATTTGAGATAAATTTTTTTATTAAATTAAAAATATTAAACTAAAATTTATTATTTCTAAAAAGAATAATATAATATAAATAATATAATAAAAAGAATAATATAATATAATAAATCTTATAACAGAAATCTTTCATTCGTATATTATTGTTGAAACGATGGGAGGATAAGAAGATAAGGAAAAAGAAAAAAAGAGCTTACATGATATGATGATAGATGCATCCTCAATCCTGCTTGCCTGCCTGCCTGCCTGCCTGCCTACCTACTTCCTGCCTCCTTGCATTTGTATGGGCGAAAGCATAGACCATTGTAATATGCAAATTTCTGGATGCATGCATGTAACATTATTGTAAGTGGTATAGATGGGATGAAGCATACAAAAGTGTAAGTTATCCAAAAGCTTCCTCTCTCAATCATATCCCATCACGCACATCATTTTCTCTTTTTGTTGCTGCGTGAGTCGGTTTGTTTCGGAACGTTCTCTGCTTTTGTACGTACCATTCGAATCATCCCTACTTGATGTCTTCATCATCGAATAATCATTCTGATAATAGGGCAGGTTAGCCTTATTGATTCAATTCTTCTCTATCATTCATACACTCACATATCTTACCCAAAATTGATTTGTTATAAAATTTTTCATTTCTTTCGATAGATTTCGATAAATTCTTTCTTTTTATTATCTTTCATATTGAAAATAATTCAATTGTTTTAAGTATTAAATTTTATTATGTTACAGTATCATCTTTATTTCTATTATTGTTTCATTTTGTTATGAATCATTACAAATTAACGAATTGATATCCTTACGAGTTATTTTGGTATTGTTCCAAATCAGTATTGGAACAGAATAAGGTGGTTATGAGTTTCTCTAACGTTCATGCATGATTTCGCAATCGTGCCATTTTTCAGTTCTTTTTTTGTCTTTCCTTATTTGTAGGATTATCAATTATTGATAAACTGAACGATATAATGAATTTATCGGCTTTTTTTATAGTATAAAAGTGAGGGAAGGATTGCTAACAAATTCAGGATATCGATAATTCGACAGTTTACCCTAAAATGTTAAAAGCACAAAAGCACAATAAATCGAACGTTTTCTTCCGGAAATGCTTTTTATTCAAACTTATCAATCCAAACTTCTGCTGTCTAAGTGAGAAAGTGTTACAGTATAGTTTTCTTTTGGTGACTCTATGGGATTCTGAGCATGGTTACGGGATTTCCTGTTGACTTATTGATTTGTTGACTTTTACGCTTATTGAACGTTTTATACTGAATTAGAAGAGAGCTGTTAGCTTAAAAGTCAGAAAAATGTGAAAGACTTGCTATTGTATATTTAGACGGGCATTATTTATTGTTTGAAATAATTCGAATACATTTCTAGAGATGTCTGTTAAACGAAAAGCTTCGAATGCTAGAATTTCTGATGAAGACGACGAAATAACGCACGTTTGTGACGGTAAAAATTATTTAATGATCGCCTGCCCATCCAATATTTTTATTTCTCGTATTTCTTTTTACTGATATTCTAAAATCCTCGAATATGTAATGTTGTCGGATATTTAAACTGTTAATTTTATATTATGGTAAAGGAGCAGAGATGTCAGAGATGTCTGCTTCAAATAATTTAAAAATAGATTTGATATTTTAACGGACTTTATGGATTTTGCCGACTTCAGGTAAGTGTACTACTTGTTTGAATCATATTGATAGCTGATCCATTTTGGATTACGCCTATTATTCGTTATCCTGGATAATCTACGGAGCAGCCTACAGCAAATTTTCTTACAAACAGCGAATTGAGGAAATTAGAGAAATCAGAGAAATGATCCGGGAGAGAAGGAAATTTAGTTAACAACGACGGGAAAAAAGAAGTTTTGCATCTAGAATGTCTAGCTTTTTAAAGTGTTGTACACTCAAATTGTGGTTACAGATAGTTCTCAACGCCTGCGTCCCGAACCACAAGGCCATCAAGTGGTGAAAAAGAGTAAAGTTTCGAAAAAAACCGCGAGGAATGTAGGTTTGTCTTTTCACTTTCATTATTATAACCTTAAAGATATTGTTATAGCATGTGATATATGTAGCATTGTCAAAGTGTGCAGGACACACGCACCAATCATCTCAACAGTGCTCTAAGCACAATAAACACGTAAGATTTCTATCCTTCTGGTCAGCACATGATTTCTTCCCGAACATATCCTGAGTTATTCTGGAAAAAGTGTTACACGAAATAACCGAATAGTTTCAATGATAATAGACATGAATAGGAACTTCGCACATTTTCCGACTATTTTTTTACGTTTTTTTAGGTGTTCCGGCTGGTTGCAAAGTTGAGAGTGTACCACCGGATGTCGTTGAGCAAGTGAATCGTCCAAACACACAGCAGCCGTATGCAATGATGGATCATGCGAGACGTGCAAATATTTTGCATCACCCAGTGGTGGTCGATCATGCAAACCGTCCTATAAGTCAGTATATTAAACACATAAGATTTGTGGTTTTCTCAATCTCAATATTCGATTGGTTGATTAAAAAAATTCCTTAAAATTGTCAAATTCCAGATATGGCGGTATATCCAGGAGCTCCATGTTGGTGCAACCAACTTTCTGGGGACATGCGAGCTATTCGTGAACTGATTGGTGCAGTTTCCAATGGGATTCATTGTATTCTTCAGAAAGTTCACATGGATCAAGTTCACAATGCGGAAGTGATGTCAAAAATGTTGAATAGTGTTGAAGTGATTGCGGACACTGTTACTCACTTACCGCTCGCTCAGTTGCAAGGTTTGTTTTAGAGAGTTTTTTCCTTTTTCTGAATTAAATAAAAAGCAAATAAACGAAATTGGGTTTAAAACTGATTGGATGGATTGATGTGTTTGTTGCAGACTAATAAACACCAAGGGTTAATTTGTAATTAAATAATGACTGCTGCCAATTAGGAAACAATTCAAGATCTCAACTACTTTAGACTGCAGCCTTTAAAATTAATGATTTTTGCTTGAATCTTCGCTACTTTCAAATATTTCGAAAGTTGAATCACTCCACCCATTTCTATTTTTGCTCAAATTTGGCCCTCGATTGCACCTTAGTTTCACTCCCTCCTCCCGAATTTCATCCACGAATATATCTCATTTCCATGAATTAATCTTCCTGAAGATACTGTCAGTCCGTTCAGCGAATAGGTATTTCTAAAATGATTATGAAACCAAAATGGAATTAAGCATCAAAATGATTATTCGTGGAAGTATCGCCAAATTTAATAGGCAAATACATCACTACGGAAATCTTCATTAAACTGATTCTAACTGCCTACATAACACCAAAAATTATCTGTTCAGTTCAAAGTTCAGACCGTGGTGATCTTACCCACTTACAGTTTATAATTTTTTGACACCAAAACAGAAATTCTGCTGTCATCGCAAATCGAACAATTTTAGAATGCGATCAGTATTTGCTTGAAGATATCGGAAATATTGATACACGTCGTAATGGAACGAATACTGATCCATATTATGCACCAGGTGACGAGCAAGTCCCACCGAATCAGCCCCCAGCGAACGGCAATTATATATGAATGAAATCCCTGTCAAAGTTGATTTAAGGGAATTATGAGCAACACATCGACTGTTGTCTCTTGTTGAAACTAACCTGCAGTTATTTCTTTTCTAATAAAATGTTGCTTTTTAAAAAACAAAATGTGTTAAGTGCGGGAATTTCACTTCCTTCGCAGTGACTGGGTACATCATTATGAACAGGTAACAAAATAAGTCAAGACATTCCCGACACCCGGCATTCTTCCAATTGCTGATTGTGAAATAAGCGATAATCGAATATCATTTCTCGGGGATGTGACGGAAAACCAGTACCGCTTAATACCATTATAGTTTTAGCAGCTTACCGGATGACGAGCCAAAGTTGCTGTACTAAAATTGTCCATGAACAGCGAGATTTTTTCACTTTTCTCTAGAGAACGGTCGGCATTTGCAATAATACAATATTGATCGTTTTATTGAGCAGTGACAGAACAAGGACTATAACATACAGAATGGATTCAGCAAGACTCTTTACAAATTCCAAATCCTAGTGCAAAATGAAGCCAGCAAAACATAACGTTAAAATAAGGGAATATATGAAAATTCTCTGAAAATCGTAGCAGTGGTCCTGAATTTATAGCTGCAGGATTTCGAAATCTTTCTCCGAACTTTCCTGACATAGATGTGCAAATGTATCTCTGACAGTTAGTTTTCGGTTTTATATTCTGCAGACTCTGACTCAGAGGCAACCATCTACTTCTCAGAATGACTAAATATAAGACAAGAAAGAAAAAGTTGTTTAGATCAACTCTCGACATTCACAACAATAAATGATACATGCTCTAAGCAATAAGAAATCATCATTATGAATTAAATGCATAGACTGGAATGATTTAAAATATGTTAGTTCTTCACATAGAAATATCATAAAAAAGTACGACCTGATATCCCTTCCATGAAGTATTGAATTTGAAACGTGATGAAAGACTACTCAATGATGCTATACCTATCATCAAGGAAAACTAGAGACAAAGAGATACGGAAGTTTCACTTGATGAGAAATAGAAGCAAATTATTATATAAAACATAAATGTATGCTTTAAGCAATAAGAAATCATAACTGAACGGTATGCTACATAAAGTATATAAGGTTCTTAGATCATTAAACTTGTAATTACAACGCCATCCAACTACAGAATGGAAAAAGCATAGGTAGGGGGTGCTAACCGTTTTATTGTAACAGGTGAACATTACGAAGTACTACATGATAATTGTATAGAACTTCATGCAATAAATAGCAGATAGCTGGGACATTTTTACATATTCACAGTGAATAAAATCACCCAAAATCTGGATTTGGAACGATCAAGCGAAATATGTTTAACGTCTGAATGACATCAAACGCAATGTAGTGTAAATCGGGGAATATTACACCTCAGATCACCTTGCTTTCACCACAAGTCTTCGTGTCCAATTTGCTATATCACATTAGAATAAATCTACAATGGCCCTGTGCAAAAGCAGTGCTTAATCACTGAATTGCATGAAAACAGCAAATAACTGCAACCAGAAAGTCAAGCCATATTTACAGAGAGTACAGAAATAATTTATACGGTTATTATAACAGCTAAACATATGTAATAAAACGCTATCATTTGAAGGAGAGAAAAAAGAAAGAGAAAGACACAAAAGCAAATATATAAGGAAGAGTAAAAGCTTTAAAATTATGTACACTTCTGTTGATAATAAACAACCTATTCTCCTTAATTTAAAAGGACAGAAAGGAAAACTGAGCAGCATGTCCTCCTCAATCATGCATATTTATCGTGAACCTGTACTCAAATTGAACCAACCATCCAGAATTTTGATCCCTTTACGATCCGTAGGGGTATCCAATAGCCTACGCAATGGAATATGAACAGAACCAATCACTGAATTTTCACCAACCAATGAACTACAGTTCCAAACTGATACTTCCAATGCCCGATCAATCAAATTCATATCAGACAACAGCTGGTAATTCAGCTGCAAATTTACAAATTTTAAAATCTTAATATTCGATGCGAAGAAAAACTGGTTCATCCAATAACTGTAAATTTCGAGTAATATATATTAAATATAAATTTGATGCTGCATGTCTTCTAATGAAGGCATGAATGCTTACCAAACATAGCAATTTTTTCGAATTATGACTGAAACGCTAGCCATCAAATCGTCTTTAATTTATCTAATGGCCATACTATTTCAAAATAATGCTGGAACTGTAACTACAAACCTCCTCGTTAAAAGTTGGCATTTGAGTATTTTTTACAACATGCGTTTTTCGTTTCGAACTTCTTTGCACATCGGGATGCAGATATCTACAACAAAATCTAGGAGAACTACGTTAAAGCATACTACATTCTATATGTAAATCAGAAGATGAAAAATATAATTGTAAACGCAAATGTCTTACGTTTTGACGTAAGAATCTGGTGCTTGGCCGTTAATGATTTTTAATCCCCTGACATGACCAACGAATATATTCAAATCACCATCCTGTTGGTCATAAGTAAGTCTCAAAAAGATGCGGCCAGTTACTTTCTTCGACGGTATATCGTCCTCATCCACTGCAGTTTACATATATAGGATGAAGTTCTCTTCGTAAAAGAGATTAAAATATTCCCATAGCATCAAAAAGTTACTTCCATTCCGGTTGTCAAAAAAAGAGAAAAATCCAAACCTTTTGTCAACTGCAAAAATTGATTTGACTCTTCAGGTGCACTGTCGCGAAAAATCATATGGAAGAATGAGTAGACCAAGTCACTCTAAATAAATTCTCAACTAATTCTCTTATGTCAGCAAGAAGTCATTGAAAATGCATACTTCGCTCAATTTATTTTTCCTTGCTACCACGAATGCAGTCCGAAATTTTTTGATTCATTTACTTCTTACTACAACTGACAAAAATTAAATAAAAAATTACTTACACTTGCCACCTCAGGATGATATTCAAAGAGCACATTCAGGAATTGTTGCAAATCCGCTTGTCTTCTTTCTGCAACCTTGCGTATATTTGAGCGACCAACATTCGTCCCTTGTGAGAGTGGTGGTAGATGTGCAAATGGAAATCTGACAGTGAAATAATAATGCTAAAGCCACAATGAACGTGTAATCAAATTCCTTAATCTCAGAATTGATCAGCATGAGACATCGCGACAGCACACGAAAAGGCACTACAACATCAGAAGACTACCCAGTTTTTATCTCCTATTTTCTTCATTCAACCAAACAATATAGATTAGTCATTTCTGTCTATTATCACAAGTATCCAACTATACCACGTATGTTCAGACTTTAATTATTGATTGATTCGAATGCTATCCAAAATATGCCCACAGTGTGTTCTCACCTCCTGCACAATTTGATATAAAGTTCATTGAATTCCACAAACGACCTGTACACAATACCGCAGACCATTTCGTTCTCTCGGTTCACTTCGACTTTGTACATCTGTTAAAACGATCATTCATTTGTGACCGGAGCAACATTTCATCAAAAAATCACTTACTTTCAACAACTAAATCTTGTTATTAAGAAACCGCTTACAAATATCAAGTCTTACGTAAACTTTTTCCGGTATATGCCATTTCTCAAACGCCAGCACGTCAACCCTTGTGATACGTCCATCATCTTTCATTCTGAAATGAACTTCCCCGCAGTTAATGCTCTTCGAAATGTTCACGAATTTTGGATATTATAGACCAGAATCGAACCTAAGCCATACGATTAAGGTGGTTTATGTTTAAAGAAAAAAATATAAATCTAAAAATTCACTAAGAAAACATTTTTGGCAATGCATTTTCCAAAATTTACGTATATAACTGCTGGATGAAGGAAAGTTTATTGGGATCATCATATCCGCATCGTAATATTGATGGAGTACTCTTCATCTGCACCAAAGTATGAGCGAAGAAATTCAGCCTAAAACAAGATGAAGTGTTTCAAAAACTCATAACACACAAATTTCGACCGCTAAGAACATTTTGGAGCAACGCCTGAACATCAAGAATTTTAGACAGACGGAAAATATTTCTAGAAAATACATCAAATTTTACCGAGGAAATTTGCTTTTCAAACTTTCTTCAATCATTCGTGTGAACTGAACAGTTGCCTGTGTATCAGTTAAATTTAAAAGTAAATTGCTTTGCACAAAATTGACAGCCTCCAAATTCATGCCTGCGATACCCGAACAAGACATCTGCAACATGCACACATGATAGAAAAATTCCATTTTAAAGTTAAATTCAATTCGACCGACATCAGCTTAGCTTTTTTAGTGATAGTTATATCTTATTTTATTATGAATACAAGGAAATTCTCAGTGTCCTAGAACAATGCGCTATATTCTGGAGTATATAATTATACACCAAAATGTATAATAAAACTCTTCAAACTATCTACTTCTTATAGACGACAGCTGACAAAGATAACGTTAACCTGGTGAATAAACATTTAATCCGTAAAGTTGTACTTTATGTAAGACATAAGAGATGAAAAGGAGTTGTGGGGTTAACTTTTTGAGCTTTGAAATAATTGTTTACATACCATTTTCATGAGGTTTACGAGCAATGAATATTTCTTTCGAAGTAAATTGAAGGCTTTACAACAGTTATCAACGAAATGCTGATAACGGCTTGTTGCTGACTGAGGCGAACCTTCGTTAATGACGTAAGCCATATCACTGGTAAAAATGAAAGGTGTGCGATCTCTGAAAACAAATTTCATTTTGGACATAATCCTCAAAGCACTGATAATTCCAGAAGTCGAAGACTTTCTTGTAAATGAAGCTAACCGTCGGAATCCAGCAGCCGTTTGCCAGTCACCCATGTATTTGCCAAAATCAATATGGAAAACATGACCTGTTCTGGTAACCAATATGTTATCATTATGTCGATCGCCAATACCGAGTACGTAAGTAGCAACGCACCAACCTGCGCAAGATAAATGAAAATTCTGCAATGCCTGCAAGCCATTTCGTCAAAGAAATAAAATTTGACAACGATGATACCAACCTGATTACTTAACTAATCAATTCTTCAGTTTTGTAGTTAGAAATTATTCAGTGCCGTCCAGATTAATTTACTTATCTAGTTGCTCATATATGACACCGACTGGAAGAAAGAATTGAAAATTACTATTTTATACTGAAATTCCGAAGGATTATGCATTTCTAGCCACTTTTTCAGCAGATCATCCTTAAATACACCAGCAGCACCGACGGCACTTTGAATTTCACATAATGTACGGCAATCAGAAACCAGTTCTACCATTCCTTTAAAATATGACTTCACAAAAGCTAATGGGAAATTCAAAAAAGCTAAAAAATCAATAAATAATTCTACAACCACAAATAGTAGTAAAAACACCGCACCGCTTTTGTTTCCAAGAGGTATGCAGCGAAAAATGACCATTCTAAGGTCGAGCTCCTGACTTAACCATATATCATTCATCATTTTCACTAATTGTAACACGAATGCATCTTGCCTCATATCATCACCAACCTTCAATATGCATTATGAATAACTTTGAATCATTAAAACACATAAAATCTTGATCACTATAGCCCGTAACCTGTTAGAACAAAACAACTCACAACTATCAACAGGCAGTAGGCTAGAACATAGCAGCAACTTGAAATAACAATTCAAACAAGAAAATACCAACCACTAGTAAAATAATATATAAAAAAGTCTACCTTATACAGAACCGCAAGTGAACTTTTCAAGCCTTTGAATATTACTTTTATCGGTTTTGTCAGTGAATTGAAATAACTCGATTCTGATACACTTACGCCAGTACATAAAAACGACGGCAAAAGGGGGAGGCGTACGTTGTTTTCCAGTATTCGAGCATCAAGTAAAGCAAGATGTCGTTGAAGAGTTAACTGCTGAAAATGCAGACTGTATACAAGTTTTATGAATTTCACAGAAGTTGAAAAATACTCCATATCAAGAGAAATAGAATACTAAATAAAAGAGGCATATAAAGAAATCTACCGAGTTTTAAGGAATTTAAACAACAAACCATTTTGCTGGCATCACCCGCATCCTTCATTTCACAAGATGCAGCATTTAACGCTTGCAAAAGCCGATGCTGATTTTCAATATCAATATTGAATTCTTCATCTAATAGGTTAAGAAGCTGTTGCTGCAATAAACTGCATCGATTTGAGTAACTCCTTTCTTGACTCTGGTCTATCCGCTGTTGCAACTGCCTGGAAATATGTTGGAAATATGTTACTAATTTATTGTTAAAATTTTTCAAAGATTTTGCACGAAATCTGGAGTACTTGTAACTTTTCCTTGGAATATTAAACTGTCAATTAAAGAGCATAGAATATTAAGTATAAAATTGCCAATTAAAAACACTTTAAGGGAAAATAATACCAATAAAGTTCGAAAGCAAAACGACGGTCGCCAGCACAAAGCGTCAGTAAGTACACAGCCAGTGACGAATCTTCGAATGTTTCAAATCGCAAAGCCTATAATGACGTATATGTAAATGAGTCATATAAAAATCCACAAAACACAATGGTAACTATATTTACAGAACTAGAGAACTCGTCCAATTCATGTTTTGCACAATGCATTCATTGACTGCCTTAGATTTCAAATTGGAATATTCTTTTCTCCTCCAATTCACAAAGAGAATTTTTGACTCGCCGAAAACATAAAATGCTGGAAAGCTTCAGATCTGGCGAGCAGTATCTTAAAATAGATAAAGACTGAAGAAAGCAAAAACAACCTCGACTAATTCGGGAAGGAAATTGAATAGAAAATCAGATGAAGCATTTTTAAGCCATGATATAGCCTTCGAACGAATTATGAGATCCGGGAAACTGAAAAAGAAAGTTATCGATAGATTTTTACGCACAGTAATCGTGTTTTCGACTCACCCATTCGAAATTTCAAGACATGACCCTTCTGGAGTAAGAAAAGTAATAAAAAAAAATTACTGTGGAAGCAAAAGCTCGATCGCTTGCACTGAACTCAGTGGCATCCAATCATCCAGCAACTGATAAATATTTGTTAGTGATGCCCAATCCCAACCAACGGCAGAAGCAAGTACTAAAGGCAAAGCGTCCGGTATCTGAGTCAAATAATGTCGCTTTTCCCACAAAGTTTCCTTTTCATCTTCGGTTAAACTGAAAGTTAAAAGAAGTGTAATAGGCAATATTCCCTTTTTTTTGCAACTATATTTGATGATCAAAAGATCACGGGCAAATTATCTTATTTAAGTACTTGGAAGTGAATTCTGATGCAGAATAAAGCGAGAAAGTAGCTTATCTTCATACGGAGAGAAAAATGACAACATAATCCCCAGTTTCTCACAATAATTCTTGCTCCGAAAGAAGGGTGAGGCTAACTCCCACAGCAATACCTCTTTAAGAAGGGTCATTGTGAGCGCTATAACTTAAGCAAATATAAAAAAGCAGAAATACCACAAACTTGTGAGTAACTCCGCTTTCTACAATATCAAGCAAATTCTGTTGTGTATCAGAATCAAGAGAATTGAAATCGCGTTTCAGACTGCAAATATTTTTACAATTGATTTTCCTTTACCAAGAAAATTCCAGATACATAACTATGAACAAGAGAGATTTGTCTGTTAAACAAAAATTACAACTTTATGCTTTACTAAATTTGATTTAAATCTAATCTACTTTTCTTTGTGGTTTCTTGGTTGAACACTCTGCTCAAATTGTACACTAAAACATAATGAAAAATGAAACAAGACTCAGAATCCATCAAAGATCATTCACCAACAGTCATATACTCCAACAGAACCTTCCGATTTTCGCATTGGAAAATTTGATTTTGGTTGAAAAAATTTTAAGAAAACTATACAGAAAGGTAAGAAGCACCTATTATCGCCGTAGTTGACATATGGGAAAATAACATCATAATGTAGTTGCGGTAATGTAACAAGTACAACGAGATCATCCACTGTTTCGAATAATGGTCGAGGCCCCCATGGATGAACCACCTTACCATTGATAACAGATAACGGTAAAAGAAGAGATCCTTGTCGAAGTAAGCTAAACAAGATGGACATGAAAACTTGGAAATGTGTGTTTCCTTCTGAATAATTTTCATGCTGTTAAACATAATCTGCTACTTTTAACAGAACCACCATAGGTTCATGTCATCGTCGTGATAGTTTTGGCATCGTTTTAAATTCATATTTCATGCATTGCAACCCCGAATTTGTATCATCGTCATACCACTAGCAAACAAAGCTCGAAATTTATCAAGCAACTCTAGTTTAGCTGTCTTGATTACAATTTGAAGGTGGGTTAGAGTAAATTAAATTAAAATTCGATTAAAACAAGTCGGAAAATTGCATTTTATGATCAAGTAGACAATAAAAATCTCGTAATCATGATATTAACAAACCCTTCGTGATCGAACAGTGGAAAAGAAGCACAAGCAAGTTGCTTTTCAAGTAATGACTGTGGTTCAGTCGATACATTCGATAAGTGAACCTGGAGATCACGTCATCAGCATGTCTAAGGAAAATAAAACAAATTTGAAGATCATGAACGAAAAACCAATTGTACTTACTAAAATGCACAAATTCCGCTTATGCAAATTAAATACATAAAAACAAAGTATACTCACATGATCATTGCAAACTGAACTGCTATTTCCATAAAGCAGGATAAAAATCCGTGTTTCTCTAGGTAAAATGCAAAGTGGAATGCGAAAGCAGGCCTGTAAATTTAATATTCCGTACAGAATAGCACGACAGTAAGGAAAGAATTATTAACTTGAACTTTAATAGTAAGATCAACTTTAATGGTAGGAATCTGAAGCTCAAATTCCGCTCTTTTTTGTCTTCCCTGATAATATAAGGCTGGCGTGAAAAACTTGCTGATCCCACCAAAATAATATAACCCTTGACAGTGAAATGCTAAAAACAAATTATTGGTGTGCATCTTATTAACAACCTGAGAAAAAGAAAGGTACTAACCCAAGTGTTAGTTCGACAGTATGGAAAGAAATGATCATTAATGATCGGTCGGGGATTTTCTTTGAAACCTCGACATATTTCTGATGTTCCATGCATTACATGGACAGCGACCGAGAATAAACTGAACTGCTGTGACCATTCCCGTGGTATATTGTGGACTGAATCAACGTGCACTAATAGCTGCTCATCCACAGTTAAGATTTCTCGTTGTTCACGCTCACTATTCAAAAATGTCTAGAACAAGCAAAAAAGTATAAAGTCACCGCCTCCAGAAAAATAAAAATATAGAATTGGTGCTTCCGAAAAAAAGAAATATAAGGTCGATCTCAGCAAAATACGACGATAAAGATGCTTATAACTCTTGTCTTACGTTCTAACAAGAGCTATAAGTATATTTATCATTGAATTTTACTATTTCAAATAATATCTTGTTATATTATCTCCTTTTCCTTACATCACGTGCTGAAATGTTTTCTTTACAAAGTCTTAACTTACATGACTTATAAGAATATATTACGTTAACGGCACAAATAGACCTGTAGGGGTAGGACATTGAATCCACATCGTACAGATTTGCAATATATACCGAGAAAGTTATGCACAGCAGTGAGGAGTTCTGCAGTTGCGTTTGAAAGTTGTACCTAAAATATACATCCTTACTTTCATGAATGACGAAGTTGTCGTAGTCCAAAATTAATGATAAATATGTACTGATTATATCGATCAGTTAGTTTCATTGACTATATTATATTGATGTCCTCTTAGCTACAATGATGGTACTTCTGCTATGTCAGGTCGCTGTGTGTTTAATAAAACTTCTAGTTACTGCGGGACGTTGCTGAGCAAATAAACATAAATTAGATAAGATGAAATCTTACGGCTGTTCCTGCTGCAAGAAATAAACGCAGAGCTCCGGAAAGATCATTCGGCATAATGCGTCCAAGAACAGTGCAAAGAAGCTTCACTGACTGGTTTACCCTTTCTCTATTCTTCATTGCTAGAATTTGTGGAATATTTTTAATCAAAATGGGCGATTTGAAATGAAACGCTTGAATAATAAGGACATCATAATATTTACCATCATTGTTAAGATGTGTGCCCGTACAACTACACAATGAACTTTTCAGTGCATCCAAAATTTCTCGAACATTTGCCATTGTTCGCACTACAGAATCAGGTTTCTTGGAACTAAAAAGCTCACAAATGTGAGAGTTAAAGTTGCCGGTATCTTATATAATTTTCATAACTAAAATTCGATTTGCACCTTACAAAAATTACCCAAAAATTCGAAAAAGTATATGCTATCTGGACATAACCAAACGTCAATCCCTTAGAGAATTCTCATGATAACATCGTGCAACAGATTATTTAAATCTACCAAACGACGAATTTATTTGAAAGATATTGAGAAATTTACGAAAAAAAGGACAAAATTAACACCTGCTTTGCAAAGAATGTTTTGGACTGCCATCAGTACTTGGTGTATCAAGCTGCTGTATTCTTTTGGATCGATTGTCATTTGCTATTTTGCCAACCTACACAAAAAGCAGTAATTAGCAATAAAAGTAGAAATAACATCCAAATTTGAAAATCCAGAAATTGAAACAAAACATTACCTCAAGTCGTATATCTTTCCCAAAGGCAAGTGCTTGTCCAACAAATGGATTTTCACCAAGCTGAGAAGTGCTAAGAAGAAATTCATCCAGTCCATAAATCTAAAATAAGACGACATTGAGCTGACAAAATGATGATAGTTAACGACATCGTATCTGACCAATCAGTTTATAAACAAAATAAAACATGGTTATTCACTTTTAGACCATATTCATCGACCGGTAAACGATCCTGCAGCATACTTATTTGTGAGGGATCAAGGAATGTATTTAACACATTTGCCAAAATGTACTGAATTGTACTTGTAGTTTCGCAGGTGAATGTCATCTTATCGTCTGCGCTTAACATTGTTGGCCAACTTAAATAAAATTATTGAAAGAATTAAATTATTAAAATTCATACTACATGAAGCATGATATTTTAAACCAATTTTAAAGAAATACTAACAAGTTTTCCTCATTTTCGTTACCCGAAAACTGAGCAGTAATAACCCACAATCCCGAAGCACTGTTTCTTAAGCAAAAAACGTGGAAATACCTGTAATCTTTCTCAACGATTACTTTTACACTAGTAACTTTAAAACTTGTGATTAAGTAATCCACGACAGGTGATATGAAACGCCTTGATATTGGATCACATTGTTGAGGAGAGCGACGGAGAAGAGAAGCAATCTAAAATTCAATCGACTTATAGTAAATATCAACCTAGAATTCAAGTACTAAAATATGGGATGCTGATGTACAATGAAAAAAATATATGCGACAATAGCATACAAACCTCACGATCAACTTCTGAAGGATTTTCTTGCAACTGTATTTCGTCAAAATCAATTTGATGTTGTCCGACAGAATCTCCAAATTTATCTCGTCCATTCTTCTGACCTCTCGGAGGTTTACAAGGAGCTGACCCACTGCCTACATTGAAAACGATTTTTCTTTGAAAACAATTCATAGTAAAAAATTTCTTTATAAAAAATTTTCTTCCCAACAAAATTAAGATGAAACATACCTCTATCAGCAATAACTAAGCGGGATGATGAAATCGATTGCGATAGTCCCAATACAGATAAAAATGGCGAGGAATCACTGTTTTTGTTTTGTAGTACTCCAGTGTCTTTGGTTTGATCATATGTCGATGAAGCTTCACGAATCTCGGTACAACGACCAACACAAAGTGGATCAAATTCTTCCCAAGGCTAGAAGAGATTTCAGAACATTCACGAAAATTGCAAGTTTTGCAAAAAACATAACCTCTCTTTCTTACTTCACAGATATTCTTATACATGAAGCAAGTTGGCTAATATTGTTTACTGATGGATGGTGTGATGATATACGGCTGATACTACAGCAATAACTTATCGAAATCCATTACGAAAAAACTGTTTGAAAATATGAAGCGGAACATGTGAAAGAGTAAGCAAACATTATAGGCAGACTAACAATGAATTTTAACAATGAAATTTTTTGATTGATTTAGTAGGTCCGCGGGTATGCTAAAATAAGGAGAAAAACAACTTCTAACCTCCATAAAATATTTAACAAAAAAAAAGAGAAATGAAGGGAATAAACGAAAGCACTTTAATAACCATATACTCCCTCAAAAGTTTGAAGGAGATAAGGTTCAACGAAAATTTTCATAAGGAAAAAAACTGAAAGAAAATATAAGTTTCCAATTTACTTTACCGCTGCAACTAAAGACTGCGGATTGAATATATTATCGTATTCCTGAATATTTAACAACAAAACAATAATAAACAAAGTAAATTTTTGCACAAAGGCTGAGTAGCGCTGTTCAGCCTTTCTTCAATACCGAATAAACCAGCTTTGAAGAAATTCTGTCAAAGGATTGAGTTATATTTTGCAAGAAAAAGAAATAAATTGAGTTTATCAGACCTATCTGCTGATTCCTGTTCCATTTCATCACTAAAAGACATGTATTTCGTTAGTGGTAATTTCAATGGATAGCTAATAAGAAAAAAATTACTTCTTTATCGCTTAGATCAATCAAATCGCTGCTTGTTTGCAAACTGTTAACAGAGGAACAGAAAGGTACAACAACTGCACTGCTCGATGTAGATAACGCTTTCAGAGCAGCATCCGAAGCACTATCCAACTCCTCAGTATAAGTAATTCCGGAAGTATTATTCAGTTGCGTACCAGAAGTATTCAGATAACGTATATCCGACCCCGGCCCTGGTAAATTTTATAGAAATTCGATGTTGATTTTGATAATTTCGGAAATTCTAAGGTTAATGCTTCATAAATATACTGCATTAATCGGCAGAAAAAAATCATCTCCATAAAAAAATCCAGTGAAGTTTGAATTAAAACAAAATAAAATACAAGCAGAATGTCTAGTTGGATATCTAGCTTCCTCAAACTTCTCAATTAGTAATTATAAATTTGAAAATATCTCACATTTGAAATCATTAGAAATGACTTCAAATTCACTTACTATGATGTAAGGAATGCAAATCTTCCGGTCCATTTTCTATTTGCCGATAAAAGCCTACATTTCTTGACGTTGTTGGAATGTTCGCATGACGGGGTGCCTGTCCATTTCTACAAAGTTGCTATCAAATTGCGCATGGCAGAAAAAAACAAGATCAATTCTTAGACACAGTAATGAAGACAATGAAACTTGAGCTTAAAGCGGAAAAAAGCATGAAAATTATGTCCAAAATAAACATAATATCCGAGATTTCTATTTCAAGTTAACTGTTTTCTTGAATAACCAATAATTTAAGAGTAAAGAAATAACAGACAAATTAAAACTAAATAGATCTCCTTTCCAAACAAAATTCAATTCTTTTAAAAAAGACTGAATTCAAAATCTACGGAAATGCGTGGATATATGTGAGAGATTGGCTACGAATATCGGCGTTAAGCTGATTGACTTCTGGAATCACAGAATTTTTTTCGACATCATCCCAACAAATTAAATCCTGAGCACATGCACTTTCACTTCGCTTCCGTGACTCCTCTTCATATGATTGTCTAAAATATCTCATATCGCAATAAGAAACAAGTTTAAAATTGCGTAAATTCCATTTTTAAATATCAATTAAATTGGGTAAAAAAAGGAAAATTCTAAAAACCATTCTTTCGTCACATCTAAAGTCAACTGTGTTATAAAATTGTGACTGAATTAGATTGAACTGCAAGAGTTGCCACAATGTCGTAACAGCACTAACACATTTCATAAAACAGTCCAAGACGGCATAGAAGTATCTGACCTACTAAGTTTCAAAGCGAGTTCCAAATCCCTATCATAGGCGTAATCATTTGCCGTCATTCTGCTTTTTTAAGAGTTTGTATACATCTGTAATAAATTGAAAAGCAACAAAAATTATATTCGAACAAACGATCGCACAATACTCGCGTAATCGCATAGTATTACGTGGTGAGGAATTTCGCTAAATTATTTCATAGTAATTCTACATTTCCAACTGCTGTCAATTTTGATAGCAAAATTTTTTTCCTTTTTTTGTTTAATCGACCCATTTATTATTTTCTTGTTTAAATTTCTTGTTTAAACATTTATTATTTTCTTGCTTACAGTTCACAAAATAAGATTTCAGAGACATACCAGGGAAAATTATGGATAATAGAAAGGAAATGAGGGAAAAAAATGAAGAACGCAATGAAAGCTGGAAATCCCAACTTTTATTGCCTTCTTCACTTTTAACGAATAGTTCTAATTCATAAATTTATAACTTTCGTATTCGTTTCTGGCATAGTTTGTTACGTATCCGAATCCCGAACATACCGAAAAAGAGTTTGTCGTAACATCATGGCAAAATAGACGAAGTATATAAGTTCATATTTTTAATCATGAAGTAAAATTCAAATTTAAACTCAACGAAACCATGGATCAGTTCAAACAAGTCCGTTTGGCTCAAAGCACCCGATCAATAAAGTACCTCTAAAGCTGATGATTCGTTGCTCTACTTATCATCACTAGAGAACTGATTTCGGCATAGATAATAACCCTCATCGGGTTTCTATCCCATGAACAAAAAAAATGATGGGAAAATAATGAAAAAGACAGCCATGGAGGCAACGGCATTTTTACTTCCATCGCCATATATTTTAGAATTGAAAACATAAACAATCCATTTTGACAACAATTTACGTAACTATTTGAGAGATACTGCTTTTTATCTGATCTACTAGTTCCAGCGCGAGCTCCAAATCCCTATCATAGATGTAATCATTTGCGGTCATCCTGTTGGATATCTAAAAATTGATACGAAATATACAAACGGAAAAAACTCTATATGCTGGACGTAAAAATATTCTGGATATCGACGACACAATTTCATCCAACGAACCATTACAAATTTTATGAAAGAAAAACGTTAAACTCAACAAACTGATTTAACGACATCGATTAAATTTCGTAAAATCTCTCTACTATTCCCCTTCTCAATTCCTGCAATAAAAAAGGCAAAAAAAACAAAAAATGAACGTTTCTAATTATTTATGAATGATACGTAAATTCCATCCGTCATAACAGCAGAAAATTTCTATTGCACGGAAAGTAATTATTCACGAATCGCCATCCAAATTGAATTTTACAAGGCATTTTCTGTTCGCTTTACATGCACCTCTCAATCACCGCACATTTTTTAAGCCTTTCTCATCCTATTACATATACCGCTGTCTTCCGCTATTCACAACCACCTTCGTTGTCACTTCTCACTTAAACATCTTTTTACTAAATATAATTGTTGCTATAATCTGCCTTATTTTCGGGAAACTGTACTGCTTTTTCCAAAACTCAATCGATTCCCACTGCCCGTCCAAAGTTCGGAATAAAAAAAAATAAAATGTATATCGTATATCGTATCGCCGTGTAAACTTTAACATATTCTGTGAATTAAAGTTTTGTCTACCACGGGCTGCATTAAATGTTGGCGGTGGGTTGTTTGCTGGGAGTTTCGTTGGAGCGATCAGTGAGGAAGTGGTGGAGATACTCGAAGATTTTGCTATAACAGGTTGTGGTACTTAGCTTTCCATCAAGCTGTGATACCTATTTCCCCATACATTACAGTAATATGTCCTGTACTAAGTTGCTGTTACGTGAAATATGTGAATAGGCGGACATGAACAACATTATCTATATGTTCTAAGGTAGATTAACCTAAATAGCTGACGATGGTGACGTCATGAAACCTTTCAGTATTCTTTTTCTGGCGTACGACCGTGCGCTATTATCGGGAGCCGTATTGCACATCTTTCAATACTGCCTGGTTTTATTTCAGGTCGAAGTATAATATCGAAGTGGAAATGCATTAATGTTAGCATCGGAATATAGCAGATTTAAGCTTCAGAGATTTTCAAAACCGTTTTGTGAAAGCTGCTTTAATTTTATTTGCGGACTTAAGGAATAAATAGAATTTCAGTCAAAGTGAGTGCTACGTACTCTTATTGATTATTATGAAACGTTATTCTGGGAATTTGGCATTTTAGGATGTTCATTTTAACAGTTGATTTCCGAACAGATGTTTTACGGTTAACATTTCCTACAAGTTTCATTATTAAGTCGTACAATGAGAAATTTTGTTTTCAACCTCGTCGCTAGTTTTAATGATTGAAATCAAAAAATTAAGTTACAATATAGAGCGTTTTCCTCCAAGTCGCTATAACAAAGGAACTACTGATTATGATTTGTTCAGAAACACGAATCCGGAAAATATTTTCGCTGACCCAATTTTGCTCACCGAATGGCTGTGAGCGGATTTGCTTCTTCCATATTGAGTAAAATTCATGAAATTGTTAGCGGTGGCGCCGTTTCTATTTTGCACAGTTATAATGGACGGAATGAGGCGGTGGCTGGACCCTCCAACATGATGCAAATTCAGGTATCGACAACTGTCATTTGTAATTTCTTTATCCAGTTTTATGCATTTTCTTGTTGCGTAAAATCTCACTTTTCTCTTTTTCAAAGTGATTTTTATTCTTCATTTTTTTTGGAAGGGTGAGAATAGCTTCATAATCTCATTTTGTAGTTGGGTAATCTCGACAGTAAAAATTCGATTCTGGTCCGGCAGTATTGTGTTGCTTTATTTCCTCATTAATTCCCGATAAAATTCTTTGTATTTTTGAGTTCTTTCAAAATTTTTTAGTTTTGTGCAATTTTACATGCGACTGAATATTATCATGATTACAGGATCGTCGGTTGGTTGAGAAAACTTTTAAATTGATGGACAATGTCGTCAAACATTGTCAGCAGCCGCGTCTGAATCTTAAAAATTCACCTCCTTTTATACTTGATATACTTCCTGACACTTATCACCAGTTATCCACTATCATATCCAAGAATCCGAATGTACTGAAAGATAATGCATATTTGGTATTATTCCTGGAGAATGTGCAGTCAAAATGCAAGCAGGTTCTCCTATGGATGTTCTCTCTTCTGCACTTAAGTGAAATATAGTTACTTTAGGGTTATTTGTTTTTATAAATTTGAATACTTCCAGTGATCTTTTTAGATTTTTTTGCAGACAATGAAACTGTTCAAAGAAGATCGTGAAAGGATTTACGATGAAAGGTCGGGAGCACGACGTAATCTTACCAAGCTTTCGCTAATCTTTTCTCATATGTTAGCAGAGCTGAAAGCTGAATTTCCGGATGGACATTTTATTGGTGAAAACTTTCGTATCACCAAAAAAGAAGCTGATGCATTTTGGAGGGAATCATTTGGCACTAAGTAATCATTTTGTGTAATATTATTAGCCCGTCAAATTTGTCGTAGGTTTGTGCTTGTTAGAAATTTCACAGCGCTGCAATTGATTTATATTTTGTATGAAACTGAGAGGAAAATGCAAAAATCTAATATCAAACTTTTCAGGACCACCGTACCATGGTTTGAATTTCGCATTGCGTTAAGTAAGGTGCATAGACTTAATACCGGTCTAGAAACTCTTGCTTTGAAGACTACCATTGATCTTACCGTTAATGAGCATATTTCGAACTTCGAATTTGATGTATTTACAAGGTTCGGCTTCTTTTCCTTTATTTGCGTTTGCACTGATTAGTCATATAAGGCCTCACTTTCTAATGTGAAACTTTTGTCTGAAAGATTGAGTTCCAGACTTTTTCAACCGTGGAATACATTGTTGCACAACTGGCAACTGCTTGCAGTAACTCATCCCGGATATGTTGCTTTTCTGACATATGATGAAGTGAAGCAGAAGCTTCAGAAATATAGCAATAAGCCTGGAAGGTTTGTTCTTCATTTTACTGTTTAGCATCAATTCTATTAACGAGTGTTTTGAGGTGGAAGTATATGTGTTTACTTAGGTACTTGTTTGTTTTCTAGCTATGTGTTCCGTTTGAGCTGTACACGTCTTGGACAGTGGGCTGTTGGTTATGTTGCTCCTGATGGTAAAATTTATCAAACTATACCACAAAACAAATCACTCATACAAGCTTTGGTTGATGGAAGTCGAGAGGGATTGTAAGTTGTCCTTATATAAAGTTATTCAATTGACATTGTAAAAAGCTATCAATTTAACCTCATATTTATTTTTTACTCATAGCAGGCTTGGGATATAATTTCATGCTTTTCTTAAAATCTCTCATCTTTTGGACTGCTTGAATTTTTCATAACATACTTTTTTAGTTATCGTTTTCCGGATGGAAGACCAACCAATCCAGACTTAAGTCATGCCTTGCAGCCAAGTCCAGAAGGTCGTGTTAAGGTCAGCAGATATCATCAATTATGGGATGATGTTCAAAATTTATCGTTTTTGCTGACTGGGTTGTATTTTTGCATATCTGATTGTTGTAAAAATTCTGATTACTATCAAACAGTTTGGATTTTCAGGTGACTCCAGAGCAGTATCAAATTTATTGTGAAATGGGTACCACATTTGAGATGTGCAAAATTTGTGCAGAAAATAACAAAAATGTCAAGTTGGAACCATGTGGCCATTTGCTTTGTACACCTTGTTTGCAGAGCTGGCAGGTTAATGTTTCCACACTGTTTTAACATTGTGAGATCCAAGTGTGATGTATGTATTTAATGGTTGTGAAAATCGAGCTTACTTTTTTCGGAATAGTATTTCAGTCTCCAGTTTGCATTCCCATTGATTTTCCTATAAAATCGCATTCACTTTTCAAAGATTGATTTAAACTTTTTTTATTCAATGGTATTTGTTGTTGGCTCTTACATTATATCTGTTACTCCCCGCATACGATTTCATTTCGGATATATGTACTACGTTCTGGATTGTTATAGGAATCGGATGGTGGCGGTACATGTCCCTTCTGTCGCTGTGAAATCAAAGGTACGGAGAGAGTCATTATCGATTCATTTGATCCGATAGAAGCCAATAAAAAACTTGGTTATGAGACGATTATTGAAAAAAGCACTGTTAAGAATGTGGTGAGCCATCTTGATGTTTTGTTTTTCTCTGAATATATTATTAATTGACTCTTATTCACTGTTTATCATTTTTCTTTATCTGCGTCAGATTTTATCAAAATTTAGGATCATTTCAGGCTTAAAATAATTGTTGAAATAATTTTGTTTTAGCGGCAATCATGGCCTCCAAGAAGTGAAATTGTACCACCTCGACGAGCACCTCCATTGCCTCCTCGTTATGATTCATCGTCAGCTGGCAATAGTCCATCTGTGGCACACAAGCAGTTGACCTTTGATGCCCCTGTACCGAGCAACAATGACGCGTCAACTCACAATGCAGGAAAATTTGAGCAAACTGGAAATGTTTGTATTTTTAGATTTTCGAGAACGGGGTTAAATGAATATAAATAAGCAGGGAAATTTCCGAAGGATTTGCGTTGATAAGGGAAAGGGTTTGTGACATCAAATTTACTTTTGGACATGTTAAATTTTTATTTTTCTACTTACGAAAACTTTATAAGTTCTTGATCCACTATAAGAAATACATCTAGAGCAAAGCGTGATTCCAGGATGCGATACCAAGTAGCATTTCACAATTGAAAGTGTTGGCACCAGCAACGACGGAGGGATCATCGTACGTGAATGTGATAACCTCCGGTGGGAAGTCGAACTATGAAGGATTACAATATGTGAATACTGCTGTGATCAATGGTTAAACATAGGTCTTTAAAAGTTATTGCTTTTAGATTTGTTATTCCGGCATTGGGATTTACTTCATGATAACATGTTGGTATGTTCAGTACATGATTTCGTGCTATTTTTTTGTAACTTATTTCTTTGTACATGATGGTAAATCTTGTGTCAAGTAACGTTTGTTACTATCGGATATTCTAGATTCTATAGCTGGCCGAATACTCTAGCTTTTACGTAAAGATATTAAAATTAATCTGCATGTGAAATACCAAATTTTTGTATATTTGAATTGATTTGCATGTGTAAACCGGTTCCATTTTTTTCAGAAAAATTACTTTCTCATGTTACTTGTTCAATTTTTTTTTCCTAGCTGCTCAAATATCGTTGTGCTTTATATATTTTTTTGCATGTTCAACATGCATTGAATAATTCTACTAGTAAATTCCAAGCGCAACAATTATAAATTTTTTCATATATATGTAATTTGCGTGACAACCAACTGTGTATTTTGCTTGTTGACTATGCTTTTCTTTCGCTGTGTATTTAGCATTGAAGTTAGGTAATAATAACATTGAAAATAAGGCAACAACATTGAAGTCATTAATAACAAATTTAGTTTTTATTTATCCCTTTAAATTTTAGGCGATTTTTTCTCATTTGCCATACAGTTGTTATGAAGAACAATTCTCATCAAACTAAGAAATAGTATAAACATAGATTAATACTGTTAAAGAAATCTTGTGAACGAAGTATTAACTTTGTTTTGATCTTCTGCCGCAGTGGTACAAAAGATTTTATATTTTTATCTGGTTGCTTAACTGCTTTCTTCGGTGCAAAGTACTTTAAAGCTGCTTGTCATGACAATATTCATCTGTTCTATTTTTTATCTTACTGCTCTATTCTTTGGCCTTGTTAATCATGGTGGTCTTTCAACTTTTTTCTATCCGATTATTTAATCCGGAATTTGGTCATTTTAGCGTTTCATTTTTTGCATGCGCTTTTGATCTAAGCCGTTGTTGGTTTTCTTTGTGATTCCATTATTCATTCCAGTCAAGCAATTATAAACGGACACAGCAATATTTCTTTATTGTTGAACGGAAAAACTGTATCAATTCTCGTTGTTAATTAGGTGGCGTTTGCTTACCGAATTTCTGAAGACAGACGCCAAAAATATATTTTGTCCGTTGTTGATTGGAAGTCTTTTTAATACCTACTGTCTGTAAATTGTTATATTCATTCAGCACTCTGGAATTCGTTTCATTCTTTTAAAGAAAGATTAAAGTTTATTTAAATTTCAAATGTTAAACATACCGGAATCGGGTGGATTCCTTTACATTTTTAAGGACCAGAAATTTTCATCTTCACTTTAATTCTTTCACTAAATTTCACTAGTTAATTTGGACATGCTGGATGTTGCCAGCATTTTATGTTTCTCATTTTGACTTTTTTCATTTGAACTCAGAAATGAAAATGGTATTTGTAGAAGTATTAGCTACTTGTTTTTACTGCTCACTGCCTATTTTCCATTTTCATAGTACCCAATGATACTTGTGATTATGTCATTTTAGAATTTGTTATGGATCACAATGTGTTTACTATATATATATATATTTTGTTAATATCTTATCATTTTTTGATATGATAATTCTATATTTTTGTGTCTGTGCTGAAACACAAAATAGTTTAAAAGTACCAAGTAGATGAATGGACGGAGACCTTGACATGATTGAGCGGTCATAAAGTTCAGGATAGGGATTTGTTTTTCCCATCAGACATCTGGCTAATTATGTTTTATTATCTTACCTGTTAATGAAATTTGGATTACTTATTCCCAAAGATTGTTTAAGCTATTGGTAGCCTCCATCAAGAACCTCCATCAAGGGTACCCTAAAGGCGAAAACACTACGGTTTGCTGTTGCGATGAATCGTATCTTTTCATTGTATTTTAAGATTCAAAGAAAATGGAAAAGTGATGGAAAGAAACATTATAAATAACAGTTATAAAAATGAACAAAATAAATGGGTAAAATTCATGTTTTCGATTAGCGAGTCACCGTCCGATGTAAACCGGTCGATCTTCAATCTCGAATTCGGCAGTTGCTGCTCGTGAACCCTTATGCTTATGTGATCCAAGCGCAAATGCCACAGCGGCGAATACGTGAATAAGCACACATGTCCAAGCTAAATATGCAGGTAAACCTGTCGTCTGACCCACTGAATAATCCCACTCTATATTCTGCAACATTATTTTCATAGTGTTTCTGTAATTTTGAAATCATACTTTTATCCAGAAATGTGTTCATCCTCATCCACTTTATCATTGATCCTTTCAATATCCTTTCTCATCACGAACTAAACAGCATTACAACATTTACATCCTTTTTGAAATGGCTCTTGATGTCGGATAACTACATCAAGAATGTTTCTAACATTTTCCAATCTTCTAATATAATCAATTTTTAATTTAGATGATATAATTTTGCGAAATTTAAATTAACGATGGCGCAAAGAGTGGAATATGTTAATTTCTTAATCATAGCAAATGGGAATGCGAAGTTCTGAGTTTTAAATGAAACTAATTAATTCAACGGATATATTTGAATATATTTTTGATCGCTTCGTAAAATAAATTATTCCAATAACTTCATTCTTATAATATTTGAAGAAAATTTTAACGAAATATTGATTTTCCGAAATATAGAAAATTTTAAATTTTATCCTAATTTTCAATATCTCAAATGCTTGCATAAAATAAAGCTTTATGTCTACGACCGAAACTATCTTTAATTTTTTCAATTCTCTCTACTGATATATCAAATCATTTTTGTGCGAAAAAAATATCTAAGAAAATTCAAACAGTAGAAAAGTAAAATATTTTGAAAATTTTTCATATATATAAAATTCGACAAAAACTTCCGATGACGGTTCATCAGGTATATATTGATGATTTATGATTTTATTTCTAAGAAAGTATTTAAACCTTAGCTTGTTCCGCAACGGAACGATTCCATTCACTAACACTGTTTGTCAATATTTCTATTGTAACAACGATACACATAGCTGAAAATTTATTATGATCTGAAGATTTAAATATAATATTTGAACAATGTATGCTTTTAATGTTTAATTTAATCCTTTTGTTTTTAGTGAAATTATTATTTTAAATAAAAAAATTAAATTTAAATTAATTGAAATATGAAAATCTCTTTTGTTTTTTTTAACATTATCAAAAAAAAAAAACGGATATAATTTTCGATTAAAAAGAAATTTTAAAGAAATGTAATCTAATCAAAAATTTACCGATAACACCATGAAGGCATGCAACCAAACGTTTATAAATATAACGATGATGATAAAATGTATAAATAGCAAGTGCATTTGTGGAAAACATTAGCATTAATGATATAATACCAAATACCATTTGTGCCAAATAAAAATCTAAAAATTCAGGATCATTTTATTTCAATCAATTATTTCGATTTCCTTATTATATTTGCCAATGAAATGTTTACCGTTTATTTTATTCTCTTTAATTTTTTAAGGTTTGATTAAATTTGAAATTATCTTCCTAGATAGGAAGATAATTTCAAGTAAATTTCAAATAAATAAATAAACATTTAAAAAAATAAATAAATAAATAAATATTTAAATTTATTTTTTAAAAATTATAATTTTTAAAAATTTAAATAAAATAAATAATTTAAATAAATAAAATAAATTTCATGATAAAAAAAAAATTTCAAATAAAACAAATAGATATTCGACGTTATTAAAATTAATTAAAGCAATAAATTTTTTTCATAACCTTTACAACAGTTATTCATAAAGAGTAATAAAGCCGAATTTTTTCATCGCTATCATTCTAATATTTCTCTTTCTGTTTTCTTTTTTAAAAGAAAACTTCAATCATTTCTTAACTTTTCGTATATTTTTTTAAATTTTCAACAATTATTTCATATCTGAAATTTTCTCTTCCATAATTTCTTCGTTTCCTTTGATGAAACAAATTGTTAAGAAGAAAAAAAAATAGGAAAGAAAAAGTTAAACAAACGTTGAAGATCAGCATCGGCAAGTCGAAGAACATGTTTCGGAGGTGTCGGAAAATGCGGTATCCATTCCACTGAAAGTTAGAATTCAATAATTTACCAAGTTTTTTTTTTTTTTTTCATGAAAAATTGAACATGAAGTTGCTGTTTATTGAAAAATTCAAATTTTTCATCCTAAAAAGTACCCTAACACAATTTTCAATTATATTATATCGACAAAAAAATTTTAAATAAAAATTACTATCATAACGATTAAAATATACCATCTTGTTTTGTACCATTTGTTTTTGTTCGCCATTCACCCCAAACACCTAATTGCACATGTATTTCTTCATGATCAGTATTTGTAAAATCTATTATTGTCCAATTGGGTGTAAATAGTGAAATTATAAATAGAATAATTGCTATCTGAAATTACGACAAATTATTTCTTATTCGTCCTTCTTAATATTTGCTCTTGTTTTTTTTTTTCCTTGATTTATTTATACTCCTTTAGAAATTAATAAAATTATAAATTATCAATGCTCGACATATCATTATATCATTTAAGATATTATTTAAACTTTTTATTGATAGTTCAAATTATTCATATATTTTGTAATTTTTACCGTTATTTTAATCCACATTATTTTCATCCTCTTACATCCCTTTTCTTTCGTTTTTTTATCATAAGCTATCAAAATCAAAGAAAATTTCAGTTAAGCTGCAAGATATTTATCAATCTGATATTTTGGCTTTTTTCAGCATTTGTTAAAACATGTAAACGAATAGGGTTTGCACAACACTACGTTTAGTATCGCCAATATCTCTCTCTCTCTCTCCCTTTTCCTTCCGCAATAACAACATTGACAGGAATGAATGACATTCAATCTATAGCTTCAAAAAAAAGTATCATTAGATTTTAAATTTAATGCATCCACTAAAAACTTGTCCATTATAAAATACCACTTCTATTATTGTCGTCCAGCTTTTATCTCTGCTTAGAAATGCAACAATAATATAAACAATAATAATTGATAATAATAATAAATAATAATAATAGTAATAATAATAAATCTTAATAATTAATAATAATAATAAGTAATAATAATAAATAATAATAATGAATAATAATAATGAATAATAATAATAATAATAATAAATAATAATAATGAATAATAATAATAATAATAATAA